TTTCTCCAAGAAAATAAAGATGACATAGATTGATGAAAGAAGAAGTGATCAATCAACTTTCATCAAGTCGTGCAAAGGAATAATTCTCAAGACGGGATTGATGTCATGCATAAAGAGATAAAATTCATGAGTAACAATGACGTTTGGGAACTCATCCCATTGCCTGAAGGTGAGAAAACTCATTGGTCGTAACTGAATATTTAAAACCAAGAGAGATTCGAAAGGTGATGTGGAGATATATGATACTCGTCTTGTTACAAATGACTATACTCAAAGGAAGGCATTGACATTAAAGAGGTTTTTCTCCAGTTTCTATAAAAGACTTTTTTAGAATAATTATGACATTTATGACACATTTTGATCTTAAGCTACGTCAGATGGTTTATAAATTAAAGAAATCCATCTATAGGGTTAAGCTGATTTCCCGTAATGATATCACAAATTTTATCAAATAATTATCTCATTTAGTTTTGAGATGAATTCAGTTGATTGTTGTATATATTACAAGTTCAGTGGGAGTAAGCATATTTTTTGGTATTGTATGTCGATGACATACTGCTTTCCTGCAATGATGTAGGCTTAGGCACAAAATCAAGAGATTTCTATCATGAAATTTTAAAATGAAAAATCTTGGTGACGCCTCTTTTGTATTAAGGATATATATACACATGGATAGTTTTCAGTGTATACTTGAATTATCACAAAAGAGTATATCTATAAGGTTCTTAAAAAATATGAGATACGGGAATGAAAATCAAGTGATATCCCTACAAGTAAGGAAGACAACTTTAGTCTCAATTAATGGCCCAATGATAAATTTAAAGAAAAGGAAATACAGGAAATTCCTTATCCTTCAGCAGTTGAGAATTTAATGTATACTCTGGTTTGCACATATCCGGATATAACATTCATTATTGGAATGCTAGACAGATATTTAAGTAACTCTGGGATGGAAATTTAGAAAGCAGCCTTTAGGTTATTCAGTATTTATAAAGAACTAAGGATTACATGATCACATTCAGGAAAATCAGACTAATTGGAGATCATTGGACATTCTGATTCTGATCATGGAATATG